AGAGAGAGAGAGAGACTCGAACTCTGGCCGCGGAGGTGGGTGAACGATGGGGTGAGTGGGAGAGAGAAAGAGAGAGGGGGGCGGTCCGGCGGATTGTGGGACTGGCAGGATTTTGTGAATGGGCGAGGGGGAGAGAGATTCTCCTATTTCCTCAGAGAAAAAGCGCAGAGGATCGTAAGAGACCTCCACGGGGCCCAGGTCTGATATGATCGATGGCTGAACCGCGCACGAAGGGGATTTAAGCAGTGCCGTACGTTGTCAGCGTCGCTGCTCAAGTCACCACTTACCTATTATTAATGAACCACGGGCGATTGAGACGCACTGAATGTCTGCGACAGAGGAGGCGATCAGGACAAGTGGAATAACGCAGCGCGCTTGTGTTTCTACACGCGAGGAAAGTGCGGGGATAATTACGTGCGCTTAAAAAAAGGAGATTGCATTGTCTTTCCCTGTTACTTGTCAGCTCGGATATTTTACTGACTGATTTTCACAGATAAGGTAAGAACAAACTGCCTGTTCGTAAACTTTCAGACTTTGAAGTTATATTTAAAATCTTTAACGCCAGACGCACAAAAAAAGCAACCTTTTTTCGTTTTCTTTTTGAATCATTTGTGTCTGCTTCGCATAGCCAGATGTTTTCTGCATCTTTCATTTCTGCTTCGCCGATCGTTGTTACAAAACTAGTTGCCAATTTGGCGAACACACGAAAAACTGGTGTTCGATGCCAGCACGGGAAAGGGAACATTTCAACTTTTCCTTACCTTGCTAGAAATATTCATCAAAGAGCTAGAACTGTAAATGAGGCGATTTAGGCGGCTAAAAAAAAAAAGGGGGGGTGAATTTTGTTCTAAATTACGACTATCTTGAGTACTGAAATCAGTATTCTCCCGATAATGCAATCGAGCCTATCGATCACTCTAGATACTACGAAGCTATTGTTGTGCCGTAATGGATTGTCTGCAAATTTGTTTTCTTTTAAGGTTTTTTTTTCTATAGGTATATGATCCAGATCTTATCCTCGGAAGGTTATTTTCATACCTTAAAATGACATTCTTGAAACCTTTTCTTTTACTTTAAAGTTGCCTCTTCCCTTCTGCTAATTGTCTTCATAAACATACTTGAGTCCGCTCTTTCTTCAAAGAATTCAAAACGAAACTCGAGACACACCTTTTCCCTTTCCTTCGTCATCGTCATTATCGTCGCCGTCAACTACGTCTGGGTCTGAGAGGAATCCTCCAGATTTGACCTACCACTCACACCCCGTCTATCTCAACACAGAGACTGACATGCATGTGGTAGAATATCTTTGTGAACTTCTAGTATTACTACGACTATAAAATTTACAGATAGGGCTATCCCTTATATCCCTCACTTCAGAAAGAACGGGGCGAAATAAAAACAGATAAAACGCTCGTACATTTCATTTTCAAACTTTTCTCCTTACACCCCCCCCTCCCCATTTTTCTCCTTACTTTTCTCCCACCCTTTTTTTCTGTCTCAACCTTCTATCGCTCCCCTCTCTTCCCCCCTCTTTCTTTCCTCTCTTTCTCTCTCTCTTTCTCTCTCCCCCTCCATCTCTCTCTCACTCTCTCTCAATCTCCCTCTATCTTTCTATCTCTCTCCCTCTATCTTCCTCTGTCTGTCTCTCTTTTTCTCTCCCCCTCTCCCCCTCTCGCTCACTCTC